TTGAGCGCTGGGTTGCGAAGCTGCCCACAGCCACTGCAGCGCCGGTTCGATCCCCGGCTGCTCCCCGGCCACCAGAGGAGGGTCCCACATGGCGCAGAGACCTCTCCTGCCGCCCGCTGCTCCCCTCAGCAGTGTCCTTCGGTCCTTCTGCCTGCTCTGCTCCCCGCTCTGGCTCTGGTGAATTCTCTCACCCTCCCGCGTTTCTGATTGTACCCAGTGCTTGAACAAATAAATAAATAAATAAATAAATAAAATCTTTAAAAAAAAAAAGAAATAATATGTAAGAGCTATTGTTATTCTTTGCATTTTATAGATGAGGACAAGGTGAACTAACTTCAGCAGTAATGTGTAACAGGGTGGATTCCAACTCAGGACTCCTTCAAATTGCTTGAGACAGGTTTTCTCATTGTAAAGATTATATATGTAAGACATTATGTAAAGATTATTTAAAGACAGTAACGTATCTGGCACATACAGAGTAGCTCCTCAATAAATTTATAATGTTCATAATCCTTCAAAACGGAGCACATCTCTTCATGAGAAATCTTTTCAAAAGTTCCCGTAAAAAACCCGTTTGGGAAGATTTAAGAAGCACTTTTCCCTAATACATCTTTAACTTACCAATAGGACTGAATTCTACTAACACATCATTAAGCATATTCAGAAGCCAAACAGATGTTTGTAAAGATGATGGTTAATTGTGTCTCACCTGATGATTCAAGCATTCTTGTTGACCTTTCTTTTTAATAAAAAAAAATGCTTTTGGAAAAATTTGACATGTAACCTTGTATAAACTCAAGGTGCACAGCCTGTTACTTTAATACATTCACATATTGTGATATACCATAATTCATCTTAACCCTTCTGAGACTTAGGTATAGTAATCCCCAGTTTTATGAATGAAGAAACTAGGCTCAGAGAGGTTAATTGACCAGTCCAAGGTCACACAGCCCATGACTGGTAGGATCATCACTTCAATTCAAGCTGTGGAGACCAAAGCTATTATTTTTGTTTTGTGGAACTGCCTTCTAGATGACTCACAAAGTTCTCCAGAACTGACAACTTCTCCCTGCAGAAACAAAGAATGTATTGATACAGATCTTCCTCTTTTCACTGGAGAATGAGGAAATAGTCAATAATCAATTGCCTATTATTTCTTTACTGGGTGCTGGCCAAAGTAAGCAGCCTGTGTCATATGCTCTCAGAGAGACAGAGACAAGCAATGCTCATCATTTCAAGAGGAAGTTTTTGTCTAATGAGGCAGACAACCCCAAAACAAGTGTCATTGTGATTATGACCTCAGTGATTTGGGTGCCCAGCGCTGTAGTTCTTAAAAGCATGAACCATCCAGTATAAAATAAACCTTTACTACATGCCAGGGACTCCAATGCTCTGTTGTCCTCAGGAAAACCCTGCTGGGTAGATAATACCATTATCACCACATTGAGGTGAGGTCCCCAGGACTTAGATAAGTAAATTATCCCAGGTGGGTGACTGAGCTGGGATTTGAACTCACCAGGATTTCTTTGCTAATCTTCCTTTGGCTGTTTTTAATGATTGCAGTTTCCCAAGCCCAAATTACAATATTAAGTTGAATACAAAGTATGACAAATTGGGACAGCCAAGTCACCTCTCTTCCGTGTCGTTTGCAAGAATCTGGTCTTGTGAGGCAGTAATGTTAGGAGGTGATATTTACAAAGCTTTTTACTGTGCTAATAACTTTGTAGGGATTATTCTCCCCATAACTGCATGCAACTGGCTGTTGGCACCACTACTATTTTCAGGAGACCTGGTTTACTCTGAGGTTGATTAGGTTGATTAGCCATTAGTCAGCTGTGGAAAGGAAGTCTTCTACGTTTCCACAATCATCAAACAATCAAACAGTGACTGATGGTTTCCAAAATCAGAAAGTGAGTCTAAGACTCCCGCCTAAGTTTAGCCAAAGCTTTTAAGCACCAAACCTTATTGCCCTGGGGTCTTACTGCCCTGAGAAAGTGTGTGTGTTTCAGTACCCAGAAACCAGCCACTGCTCAGCAAAGGACTCCCTCACCCCACACTCACACACACATGCTCACACACACAAATCTTGTCATTCGTGGTTGCTTGGTGTGAGGGCTGAAGTATAATTATCTATTCAGGACGTGGTAAGATTTCCCAGAACAAAACAGAGGGCCTGGGCCCGTCTGGGTAATGATGGCGGGAGAGTGTGGGGCACTACAAGATTTCTCATTAGTAATTCTCAACAGGAGCCTCGTCAGGATGACTCAGAGATCGAGTAATGAGTGAGGACAAGGCCAAGGAGGAAGCATGAGTTTCTGGGACAGGCTCGAAGCAGTCATTTTGAATTCAGCTGCACCACATTAAGGAGGGATGTGGACGTCAGCGTGGGTTCAAAGAAACAGCCTTGCTTTCTTCTGCAATCCGGGATAAAATGATCAGGAACTTTCCCCAGTGATACAAGAAACCAGTTTCCCCTGAAGAGGACTTTTCTTGCTGGCTATGAAGAGACTAAAATAGGCCTCACTTCCAAGAAGCTACTCAGTGTTCATAAAGCACAGCGCTGACCTCATATGAAAACCCAGCGGATTTTAAATGATGTCCCTTTCTTCTTGACATAACACTAGCACCCAGGGCTTATTGATGACTTATTATGTGCCAAGAACTGTGCCGGGAGCAGGGCTCATAGGGGGAACTTGAGGGCCCTTCTGTGGGGGGCTGTTCTTTTCCTGGCATCACCATATCAAATAGCATTTGTATCACACAGACCTTCTTAGCCCCCTTTTGGAATGATTCTCCTGTAAGGAAGATTTCCAATAGTCTGAGCTATTCTTGGTTTAAGGACAGGCAATGTCACTGAGCCCCATGTAGGCGGGGGGTGTTAAGGGTCCAGGCTGCTATTGGAAAATCTCGGTGTGAATCCCAATAGCCAAGTCCATAACAGAGGACACAATTTAACTGTGTAAAGTTCTGTTGTCTGTATTCATTTACTTTTTTTTTATTGAGCTGAACTAAATGGGAAACTTTATGTGACGCATATAGCTTAGTGTGTGGTTTGCTATGAGCCCTAAGCAGCTCTGGTTTGTATATTATGTCATATATGGTATATAAGCAATGCCTCTTATTGCATAAGTTATACAGTACGCACACTGTAGTGAGGCTATAGATTGATGTGAATGGATAGCTATACAAGCAGATAAAACACATTAGAAAGCGATCGCATATTTTAGAGAAATTTCATCTATGTGCCCCTTCTTAGCATTAACAGCCACGAAACGCTCAGGTCAATGACAGGCTTCAAGCTGAAGTTACACTAGGAACGATTTTCACGATACAAACTAGAAGGTTACAGTAAACTTGCCTGAGAAGAATTTACCCACAGGCCTGGGTCAAAAGGACGCAGTCACTGACTACACGGTGTCACTTCCTCCCTGGCTGGTGGCAGTTTTTGTGTTGGATCAGAACCTCTTTATTTTTTTATTTTTTTTTCAGTTTTTTTTTTATTAAATAATAAATTTTATTTTTGTATTCCCCCATACAACTGCACATGCCCCATTCTGACCCCCATCCCTCCCCTCCCGGCCCCCACCCCCCAAAAAGTGTCTCTGGTTCATAGTTTTTTGTTGATTTTGATTTTCACTTTCTTATAGTTATTCTTTTTCCTGATCCCTTATTTAAGTTTTCTAGATTCCTGCTATGAGTGAGACCATCCGGTATTTTTCTTTGGATCAGAACCTCTTTAAAGTCATCAACAAAAATCTTCAACTTCTCTTCCTGAATTAAAAAAGCAGGTTTATTTTTGCTGACCACTGTGTGTGTGACCACACTTGGTGGGCTTGGGAGAGGTGGGGAGGGGTGGTGGGGGAGAGGTGGGGAAGGGTGGTGGGGCGGTGGCTCCCAGGGGCACAAGGTAGCTGGTGTCCACAGGGAGGGAGGGGGTGGCAGGTGTGGGCAGGTGCCCCAGGACAGGGCAGCAAGTCCCGCTGCCCCGCGGGTCCATCACGGCCTCAAAAGGCAGCTGCAGATGAGGCTGTGGGCGGAGCGTCACTGCACGAACCATGACACTCTAGCCCCCCAAAACGAAGCATCGGGGAGCAAACCTCTCACACGCCCTTGGCCTGGCCCAAAGGCGCAGAGCCCCCCTGGGGTGCACCTCAGTTAGTCTCCAACGGCCCCTGCCTCCGGGCGCCCAGAAAGGCAACTTTCCTCCCAAGGAGTCAGCCCGGGGCCAATCCGGGCTCGGGGTCCCTGCGGGCGCCCCAGCACCCGGCGCGCACCCGGCCCTCGCCCGCCCGGGCCGCGCTTGTGCCAGCGCCTGCGGCCGCCTCCGCGAGCCCGGCCCGGCTGGAAGGGCGGAGGCGCCCGGCGCACCCGCTGACCTCCCGGGCCGCGCGCCTCCCGCGGCTTATCTGCGGGTGGAGCCGGCGCGCCCGCCCCGAGAGCGCGCGCGGGTCACCCGAGGCCCCGGCGCCCTCGCTCACCTCGCTGACTCCATCCCGTCTGCACCCGCCGCCCCGGGACCCGCGCCCCTCCGCCCCGCTCGGCGTGCCCATTGGCCACCCTGGGCGCGCCCGGTCCCATAAATGCGTGGTCCCGGCATGGAGCGGGCCGGGAGGCGAGCCGGCGCCCGAGCATCTCTTCTGCGCTCCCTGCACCCCCCGCCTCTCGGCGCCGGACCTGGCGGTCAGACTCTCGGACCCACAGGCGCACCCGCAGCCCTTCCTTCCCTCTTCCCAGGGACACCCCCTCCCAGCTGCACCTCTGCAGCGCCGCCGGCCAACTTTCTCCCGGCCCCGCGCGCCGAGGCGGCCGCACAGCGCAGCGCCCAGCATCCTCGGGGGGGACCCTTGCTCTGTCTCTCCTCTGCCTCGCGCATCCCTCCTGCGGGCCCTCTTCGCCTCTCTCTCCACCAGCGTCGAGCCCCAAGTCCGGCCAGCGCCTCTGTCGCCATCTCGCCCTGCCTGTCCCCGCGCATTCCCGCGCGCCAGGGGTCCCCCGCTGCCATGAGCTCCCCCGTCTGTAGGAGTAGCTCCCTGGCCACCTTCCTAAGGCCCCTGCGCAGCCTGGAGCGGTCCCCCAGACCTGTGACGTTTTCAGCTTGCAAGCCCCCCAGGCCGCGGGGGCTGCGCGTCTGCCCGATGGCGGAACCAGGCGATGCGCAGAGCGCGGCCGCCCTGCCCGGCCCCACCAACTGGCCGCTCCTGGGCAGCCTGCCGGAGATTCTCTGGAAAGGGGGGCTCAAAAGACAGCACGACACGCTGGTGAGTGCCTCGTCGCGCCTCAGTTCCCTCTCCCCTTCCTGCGTGGCGCGCCAAGCCCTCCGCAGGTGCGCGCCCGGGGCACTCGGGGCGCTCGGGGCGCTCGGGTGTCCCGGCCGCGGGCTCTCCGGGAGCAGCGGGCGGAGGAGCCGCGCTGACTCCGCGCCGTGCCCGCCCGCGGCAGGCCCAGTTCCACAAGAAGTACGGCAAGATTTTCCGCATGAAGTTGGGGTCCTTCGACTCGGTGCACCTGGGCTCGCCGTGCCTGCTGGAAGCGCTGTACCGCGCCGAGAGCGCGCACCCCCAGCGGCTGGAGATCAAGCCCTGGAAGGCGTATCGCGACTATCGCCAGGAGGGCTACGGGCTGCTGATCCTGTGAGTCCAGGGGGCCGCATGGGGGCCCGGGGAGTGGCCGGATGCCTTGGAAATTCAGAATCGGCAGGACTTGGGTGGGGTCCTGCGGTTGGCTTTTCTTGGCCAGGCCGAACGCGAGAGCAGTCGGGGGCTTTTGCAGGAGACTGGAGCTGGGGGTGGGGACCGGGGCGAACTGTCCTGGCCCCCAGCACCTGCCTTCTCTCTGACAACCGGCAAGGCGAAGAAATGCCAGAAAGCGCCCCGCTCTTGGGCAGAACAAAGTTGGGAAGTCAGTGCGCCAGGCACCAACAAAAGTACCCCTTAATTCTCTGTGGCCCCGCTGTTAAGCTCAAACACGAGAAAGCCTCTGCTTTTGCTAGTGGCCTTCCTTTCTGGAGGGGGAGAGAGGGGTTGTGACCTAGGGCCACTTGGAAAGGTGGGATAAAGAGAGGCGCCAGGATAGTGTTTTTCATGGATAAATGTTATACTGTGATGTGATTCCTCTGCTCTTGCGTTAGCGGCATCAAATAAGCTAGCGCTTTTGTTTGCCCCGATTATAATGCCTAATAGCTGTGTTTCCCAGGATGTAATTTCTGGCCTCAGAATCCACAGTGACGCGTGATGAATCCCACTCCCTGTGGGCGGCTGTGGGGCAAGTGCATGGGGGTGCAGGAGGGCAGCAGGCTTTTTGCAACCCCAACTAGCTCACTCTGGATGTCATTTGGAGACCATGGCAACATCCTAAATTTTAGGAGGTTGGTGAATGTAACTTTCAACCCAAGTCAATGGATGGAAAGAAGATTTTATCTCTAATCCATCCAGGTTACAGGTGAGGGGTTGCCCACATGCTCTGACTGCAGGGAATTGGGGCTCTGACCTCCCAGCTCAACCCCAGCAAGGGCACCTCAAAAAGCCCTGACTGCAAATGATGAGGGCGTCACCTTTCTGGCATAATCTTTGGCTGAGAAAAAGGGTGTTTTTCGTCATATCATTTAACCAGCCCCAAATATTCCAGTGCTAATATTCACGGGCGATTTCTTGGCACAATTCTCAGTGTGCGTTTGATGGTCCAGTTTGATGTAGTTCATACAGTGAGCGCTAACAGCATCTTTGCTTCTCCCTCTTTCCCTTCCCCTGTGCACTGAGTGTAATTCTGCTTCTCCTCCAGGGAAGGGGAAGACTGGCAGAGGGTCCGGAGTGCCTTTCAAAAGAAGCTGATGAAACCAGTAGAAATTATGAAGCTGGACAACAAAATCAATGAGGTCTGTGCACGGGGGCCAGCTTTCCTGGGTCTTTTGGGGAAGGGGAGATGTTTGTGGAGCTTCAAGTCATCCCTACAAAGTGCAGAGGGGAAAACAGGCAAGTTAGTGATTCAGGGATCTTTCTAGACCTTTCTAGACTTTTCCTCTATACCACAAAAGTTGTGTGTTGTGCTTGCGTTTTAGCAATTCTGAACCATGCTAAAACATGGATAAACTCCCCAACATCCATAGTCCTCCCACCTCACCTTCCTTTAAAAAAACAAAACAAAAACATTGCTGTCTATGCATACTTTGATATTCCAAATCTTGAATAGGAGCCTCAGCCTTCTGTCTCCTATGTAATGCAACTATGCCATTTTATTTCCTTAAGCTTCAGTTTCCAATTTATAAAATGGGAGTAACAATTCTCACTCCAGAGGCTTGCTGAGGACTAAATGAAATCATGCTCATGGTGTTCCTAGGTATTTGAACTGGGTTTTGCAGGATGAGTAGGAGTCTGCAAGTCAGAGAATGTAGAGAAAGGCACTCAGGGAAAATGGCCTGATAAAAATAAGGAGGCACGAAATGACATGGTGTGTGCAGAGAATAGCGTATACAGTACATGTACTGAAGGGAGGCTTTCTCTTAAAGGATGCTGGACAGTTCTTTTAACAGTCTTTTTGCCCACTGCTAAGGTACTTAGACATTAACCTTCAGCCAACAGGGGACCAAAGGAGGAGGGTTTAAGCAGATAGTAATGTCTTTTTTATTTCTATTCACTCTGGGTGTTTACTTTGAACTGAACTTGAACCCAGATAGGATCATATAGGTGAAATATCGCAAACCCAGGAGGTTCCAGGGGCCAAGAAATTAATGTAAGTGTATAAGGCAGGTCCAGTGGAGTTTTAGCAAACAGAAGTGTGACTTTTCTAGAGGGGACAGCTACCCTGGCAAATGACTGTCTCATGGGAGTGCAGACCCAGTGTCATCAGATCTTGTCATTATTATTATTATTATTATTATTACTATTATGACAAATAGTGGAAAATGCATCCATTTATGTGAAATCTCTGGATTTTTCAATGGTAACAAATTTAAAGTAGTCTTTACTCTAATACACTGTGTGGGCAGGTGAAACATTTCCACTTGTAGTCATGTACCCTGTATTTCAGGCCCCAGACTGGCCGCTTTTCATGTATGTATGCAAGGGCAACAGCCTTAACCTTTCTTGAAGCCTCAGTTTTCTACCTGTTACCTGTCTGGCTGACCTGGTTGTGGTGAGGATCAGATAAAATAACCCACTTTGGATGGTTCTTAGTGCCAGGAAAGGTTGTTAAATGTGAGGCCTTCATCATTGAAAACCCCAATTTTGGAAACTGGCCTCTAGAGGTTTTATGTAACTAGTCCAAAGTCATCGAGCTATTTAGTGAGGAATCTACATCTAGCATTTGTGGATTTCTTGGCTCTAAGTTCAACATGGTTAGCACAGTTACAACCAATATGGAGAGGTTTGCTTGCCCAGATAGGAAAGGGGCAGACCTCAGGCTACTTACGGCATCGGAGTCCTTGAGCTGTCCTGCCAACAAGGACCCTGGCCTGGCCCGCTCCTCCTTCCCCGGTTTACTCTCCATTTCTATTAGAAGAAATGTTTGCCTTTTCTTAAATTTAGATCAGAAGCTGAAACTTGAACTTCAGGGTGGCTCCAGCAGGAAAAGCAGAGAGAATAGCCCAGAATAAGGGTATTAGGGCATGAGGTGAGCTCCCAGGGAGAATATAGAATCAGGGTTGCTTACAGCCAATAGGATGACACGCAGGGAATACACTGAATAGCAAAACCTGAAGTTTGCTTCCCGAGCTTAAGCTTCTGTCCTCTTCCAATGGTGTCTTTTGTGATCTCTTTCTTTTAAGGTCTTGGCTGATTTTATGGACAGACTAGATGAGCTCTGTGATGAACGAGGCTGTGTTGAAGATTTATACAGTGAACTGAACAAGTGGTCATTTGAAAGTAAGTCATCTTCCTGGTCTCATTTTGACGTGATTTGGTGAGTGACTTTGAGGCTACAATTCAGAAGTCAACAACTTGGTAATAACCATACACTACATTGACAGTAATGGGGCAAAGAGGATGAAAGACCAGTAGGGGGCATTTTCATGCATCCAGGCACTTAAGTTATGCCTTGCAAAATGAATTGTTTGTGTGGAGTCCTTCAGCGAACATTCGTCATACATCTGCTTTGTCCCAGGCACTCTGGATGATGCCAGGGAGTAGAGAGGACTCCCCAGGATGGAAGCTTTTGTTGGGACCTGTCTCCCCCATCAGCACAACCCCACTTGAAAGGTGTGGTCCATTATGTTAGCACATTAGAGAGCCCCGTGCAAATAAGAAATCCTTGGACGAGGTTAAGGGAAAGAAGAGACAAAATGATTATAAGGGAGGACAAAGTGCATGCTTTAGAAATGGTTCCCCAATGCCTAGAAGTATTGAATGCATTCGTTGCAAGTTAAAAATTTGACTACAGTGGTTTAAAAGTGCCTGGCATTTTCAGAAGCCCTGAGCTGGCACACAGTGAGAGCAGTGGGCACCGGAGCTCACTTGGTCTGTTTGCTCCTCCATCTTAGCTTGTTGGCTTGTTGCAAAATGGCTGCTGGCTCTCCTGGCCTCACCTCTGCATTCTAGGCAAGAAGGCAAGAGGGTGCCAGCAAAAGTGAATTCCCTTTGGTTTCACTGGCCAGACCTGGGTTGCGGCCACTCTGGCTGCTACAAGGATGTGAGCACAGAGCCGTCCTCCGAGCCTTAGGTCACCCCGAGTTGCCCCTGAGAACAGTGTGCTGATGCCCTGCACAAAAGTGTGGTTCTCTAGGGAAGAGATGAGGGGGAAGGAGCTCTGTGACCAGCCATGCCCATTCCATGACACCAGTGCTGAACTCTGACAAAAGCAGAGCATTTAGGAGAGACGCATGAATGGATAAAAATGGCTGCATTTACACTGTGGCTCAGTGTAGTGGATTCAGTCAGCAATGTTACCCCCAGAAAATCTGGCAAACTGGAAAGTTGTCCCCCTAGGCTGCTCCTATCACACTCAGTATCTTGTGACACCAGAAACTATGGATGGGTTTGTTCTGTGAAGGTCCTGGTGTGACAGGTCCTAAAAAGAAAAAATGTGCGTGCTGTTGAGCGTGTTTAACTGGGTGAGACGCTTAGTTTTTAGGCTTTTGGGCTTTTCGTAAACAAGGAAATGGTACCCTAGCGACAGTATGCATCTTGGGACACCATCACTTCTCGAATTTAAGATTTCATGTACTGCTTGACGTCCCTACCTGCTCCCCACATGGTTCAGTAACCTAACATTTCATGAATAACTCCACTGAAGTTTACCTCGATGGAAGACCAACACCACCACTGAAATCCAAAGGCAGAAGCACAGCTATAAGTGGGCAATTCACCAAGAAAAAAACAAGTCATTTGTAAATGTTCATTCTTGTGCCCCCCAGAAAACACCCCAGGGGCTCGTTGGTCATGCCTGGTGGATGCAAGCACGGGAAAACCTAGAAAGACTGAACAGGGACATGGGGCTTTGGAAACATAAATATAGCTGGGAAAGCTGGGCATTTGCAGTGGCTGGGCTGGTTGACTCATCTGCACCTCTCAGCTTTGCCACTGCAGAGCCATCGCGTAGCCCCTCGAGCCAGTTTCCCAATCTGTAAAGGGGAGATCACTGTCCACCTGTCAAAAGGTGGGTCACCCCAGAAGCTGGTTCTGGAGTTATCTTTAGGACAGTGGGGGAACATTTTCATGGACAAGTAATAGAGCTCCATGGAACGTTTGCTAACATTCTCTGGGATGTTCATGCCATGATGGTCGGGGAGGAAATCATCTTTACTCTCAGGAGACTGGTTTTTGCACTTGAGTGTGAGGCATTGTGGGAACTGAAAGTTATTTTCAACGACACTCACACTTGTGTGCACACACAGGGACCGCGTGACAATGTCAGTGGGGGCCGCCTCTGAGTTTCCCTGAAAGGGTGGACCACTCAGACTGTTCTTCCCATTTTGTTCTAGTTAAAATATTTTAAAGCAAAAAGTTGGGAATTTTATTTTTTGAAAGGTTGTGCCTTGGGAAATTGATGCAATGGGGAAAAACACACGGGAGGTTCTGGCCCGGCTGCTGGCACAGCACCTGGCTCCTTGCCCTTCCTCCTCTCAGGGCCTCTCACCTGCCCTCAGGCAACTGAACCCCGTAGGTGACTTTAGTGAAACAGCTGAGTCACTCAGGGCTGACCACAGGGCACCTTTGCCAGGACCCCTGGGCTCCGTGTGGCTGGGATGACTGAGGGCGGACGGGTCATTTCTGATCAGGGGAATCCTCAGACCTGGAAATCATTTCTCCAAAGAGCAGCGAGTGTTCCCCCACCTTTACCTTCGACGCGGGTTAGACAAGCCCGTTCTGAATGGAGGCACAGCAGCCGGCTAGCCACCGCCTCGGCCTGAGAGGGTCGGTTCTGTCACTTAACAGGTATCTGCCTGGTCCTCTACGAGAAGAGATTTGGACTCCTGCAGAGGAACACGGGGGACGAAGCTTTGAACTTCATCCTGGCCATCAAAACAGTGAGCATCCCAGGGAGGGGGCAGCTGCCCACTGACCCTGGATTGACCTTGACACACGGACAGCACCCTGGGTCCCGAGAACAGCACACACAGGCTTGTGCTGTGCTGTGTTCATTTTCACATGTTGGGTGTTTTCAGGCATGACTATGCGCATGTGCACAAATAATAAAGCACGTTCAATCATTACTTGTTTAGGCAAAGTGAAGCAGATATTGCAATCGAAGGTCACGTGGTTAGAGAGGCTGTTTTTAAAGAGTCCCAATGCATTGGATTTAAAATTTTTGAATGGCCTGAGTCGCGTGTGGACATGGTGGACGATGTGAAATTGGTTTAGGAATGACTGAAGTTTGGAAATAGAAGCGCATATGAAAGTTATACTTTTCCTCTTTTTTTTTTTTTTTTTTTTTTAACATTAGGGTCATCAGATCAAGTATTTTATGAAACACAGCCAGGGGGAAACAGCCCAAGGCGATATTAAAGGCATCCCTGGGGCGGAGGTGGGGACCCCTTCCAGCACTGAGGGGGAGGCTGGGTGTCCCCTGAATGCTGCCTCTGGGGAAGCACAGGGGGCTTGTTCACAACAGTCCCCTGCAGAGGGAAGTTACCTGGGAATGGGCAGAACTAAGATGAACGTTGTCTCTGTTCCTCTCAGATGATGAGCACATTTGGGAGGTTGATGGTGACCCCAGTCGAGCTGCACCAGAGGCTCAACACCAGAGTGTGGCAGGCCCACACGCAGGCCTGGGACACCATCTTCAAGTCAGGTAAGAGCCGGAGCGCCTGCCACCCTGGCGGAGCTGCTGCGGGAGGGCCTAGTGCCATGTCCACTGGGCCCCGGAGGCAGTGGCTCCTACTGATTCCTTTGGGCTCTGCCCACACATGAGATTGGGATCTCCTGGTGCAGGCCATGGCAGAGGCAGCTTTCTGTCGTCTTCTTGGAGAACTGGGAGTGATTCAAAGCAGGAGTTGAAGAGTCAGAGATTCCTGAGTTCAAGTCCCACCTCTGCCATCAAGAGGGCGACCTGACCAAATGCTCCTTATGATCCTCAATTAACCGGTCTTTAAAATAGGCTTTGATGAATAACAGCAAGAATAGTAAAATAGTGCCTACCTCAATGCAGTTTTTTTCGAGGCCTAATATAGATGACATAAAATCCTTGTATATCACAGTAGCTCAAGGTGTCAGAGCTATTTCTGCTCATTATGGAGAAAATACTTGGTGCTATGCATTATCATGTGATTCTATATATATTATAGACAGCAAATATAACATCTATTATAAATGATAAGTAACACACATGTATTATATTATGCACACACACTCATTTAATTCTCACCAAAACCTGCCCTTTAAGATTGGTAGCCCTGGGCCTCCCCGGTGGCGCAGCGGTTGAGTGCTGGGCTGCAAAGCTGCCCGCAGCCTCTGCAGCCAGTTCTATCCCCAGCCACCAGGCGAGGGTCCCACATGGCGCGCAGACCTCTCCTGCCGCCCGCTGCTCCCCTCAGCAGTGTACTTCGGTCCTTCTGCCTGCTCTGCTCCCCGCTCTGGCTCTGGTGAATTCTCTCACCCTCCCGCGCTTCTGACTGTACCCAAGTGCTTATATAAATAAATCTTTTTAAAAAATAAATAAAAGATTGGTAGCCCTGAGGGACGGAACTGAGATCCACGGAAAATCAACTTCCTACGGTTACACGCTAACGGGGATGCCGAGGGACAATCCCAGAAGCTGGGACTCTAATCGCTTGTGTGTGCTGCAGGCTTGTCATTGCTGCCCCGGCCTCTCTTCTTACCTTGTTATTGTGGGGGTGGCTTGTGTCATGGGTGGAAGCGAGTGCGACACATGCCATACAGATATTAGAAAATTTTGCTATTATTGTAATCGTGCAAACTCACGGCCCTTGTGTGTGCGTGTGTGTATGTGTGTGCATTTGATAATGTTGGGGGGAGATCTCCCCTCTGATACCACCTAGATTTGGGAGCCAAACCCCACTTTGCCTATCTTAGCGAGCACATCAGCTGGACTCCAGGGTCTGGATCCAAGTTCTGATTCTGAGAGGTGTATCCTACCTCGGTCTCATGCTGGCCTCTACCAAGCATCTGCATTTTAAGATGCCCGGCTGTTGCTTGAGCACCTACAGCTTTAACAAGCCCTGCTCCTGCGGGCATTGCTGGATCCCTGCCAACTCACCCTGCAAAGCAAGATTAGTGTATCTAACAAATCAGGCGAGGTCCCCCGAAGCCCTTAGATGCTGCAGGGAAGATGTGATGGCAGGTCCTTTCCTCATCCTAATTCTCCCCTGACTTCTTTGCCTTTGTCTCTCCTCCGATAGTCAAATCTTGCATCGACAACCGGTTAGAGAAATATTCCGAGCGCCCCACTGAAGACTTCCTCTGTGACATTTATCACTGCCGTCAGCTTTCAAAGAAGGAATTGTATGCATCGGTCACGGAGCTGCAGCTGGCTGCTGTGGAGACGGTAAGGGTGGGCCTGACTGTCCTTTGCTAAATAAACTGTAAGTTCTTTCTGATGATTCTAAGCAGGCACTCAGCGCATCCTTTCCAAAAGGATTAACTGAGCACATTAACTTTCTTACCATAAAAAAGAAACAAAAGCCTCCATGGTAGGTAATGCAGGAGCTCCAAGGACAGACCTTTGTGTTGAGATGTGATAGGAGGAGAAGCCACGTGCTCCAGTGGTGAAAATCCAGGCGGGCTATTAGCGAAAGACATGCAAATTGAATATTGCACTTCATAACAAGATGGATAGTCTAGATTTTTGACAGTGGAATGGTTTCGGGAATCACATGTGTTACTCTGAAATGCCTAATTGGGCTGTCACTTATTGTAGACATATTGGAATAGTCTTTGCCAGTCCAGTGGTATTTCTTCTGTAGAAACGGTAAACAGAGTGAGTTTGGGAAAGCTTGATTTCAATTTAGATAAAACTGCTCATTTTAAATGCCAAAATTCTGTCCCAAAGTGGTTGCTACTCCTAACAGATGCTGAACACAGCCAAAATCCCAACACAAGTACCCACAAGTGTTCCTGTGGTTCTGATGATCCTGATTCATTTTTTTGAGCTATCCTGGGACTGAGCTTAGTGATGGTCCTTGGGGCCACGCTATCTTGCGCCTCCAAATCTCCAAGCAGAATGGAAGCCAGCTCCTTCTTCCCCGGGTTCTCCTTTCCCCAGTGTTTCTTGTCTGAAGAAATTGCAGGGGTTTCTCCTTGGGGGAGAGCCATGTAGACATTTCTCCTCATGCTCCATAAGTCAGAAATGGGGATTCATTTTCCTTCACTCTCCTCTTGAATCTCTTGAGCGGCTTCCCCAAAGGAAGGGAGTAAAAGCTTTGCCTGCAGCCCTGCTCCATTCTTTTCCAACTGGAAAGGCAGCTTCATTCCCCTTGACTTTGTCCTCTGAAGTGTTCCAGAATGTAGAGCAGCATTTCACACTTAGTAGATGCTCCATACATCCTTGTTTGATGGATAAAAGAATTCAGCAACTGGGCCTCCCCGGTGGCGCAGCGGTTGAGCGCTGGGTTGCGAAGCTGCCTGCAGCCTCTGCAGCCGGTTCGATCCCCGGCTGCTCCCCGGCCACCGGAGGAGGGTCCCACATGGCGGCAGACCTCTCCTGCCGCCCGCTGCTCCCCTCAGCAGTGTGCCTCGGTCCTTCTGCCTGCTCTGCTCCCCGCTCTGGCTCTGGTGAGTTCTCTCGCCCTCCCACGCTTCTGACTGTACCCAGTGCATGTATAAACCAAACAAACAAATAATAAATAAATAAATAAGACATGCCTCTAGAAAAAAGAATTCAGCAACTGTTGAGTGCCTACTACATGCTCGAGAGAGCACCATGAGCCAGCTCTGCTCTTAGAAGACAAATGCTAGTAGGGAAGACAGATCATAGACAAGTCAACAAGCAGGCAATAAGACAATTTCAGAGAGTGGAGTGGGACATGGAGCCAGCATCAGCATCTCAGAAAGAGATGGAGATAGAGGATCAAGTTCCCTCAAGGGAACGATCCTAAGCTGATTCTGGAATGATGAGGAAGGACCCGCTGTGGGAAGATCTGGTGGAAAGCACTCCAGGTAGAGGAAACAGCACCTGCAAAGGCCCTGGGGCAGAAAGAGGGATGGTGATGGAGAACTAGCAAATGTGATCACAGATGACACTGGAGAAGTCACCACCAGCTCTGTGAATCCCGACCACTCGTGAGGCATTTCTATTTTATTACACCTGCAATGGAAATCACTTAGAGCTTTATAAACCAGGGAGTAACCTGCCTTATAGCAAAAGAGATACATGTTTTGAAAACTGGGTTCTGGTTGAATGGACCCAGAACAAGGGGAGTAGAAGCAAGAAAGCTAGCCAGGATATCCCTCTCCTCTCCAGAGGTCAAGCCAGGATAGTTTGAGGTTTCCCAGGTCACCTTCCCTCCACTCACCCCTGCAGTCACCCTAATAGGTCCAGGCTGTCATATAGGGCTTTGGTGAAAGCTACAGTTATCTGCCTTTTGGAAACTCTAGCCCTCACTTGCGGTAAAGGACCCCACTGATAGGATCAACTGTTTCTTTTTTAGTCCTGGCTATTCTGGAAGTCATATTTAGAAAATCAGAGAAATTTGAAAGTGTATCTAATTTGGTGGCTATGCCCTCTTCCTGTTTCGTAAACTGGACCCTGGTAATAATGCCATCCGCAGCTTATTTGCAGCTGAGGCTGCTGGTGGCTGACATGAAGGGGCTGCCTTGAAGGCATCTTCTTCCAAACATAGTAAGTGCCACTGGCTCCGAAGCCCCATGCATGACGCTCGTTGTGTAAGCACTTAGCAAAAGCGTCTCCGTGTCTGCAGAGGGAGGACACAAGGACCATTTTAAGGGAGCTAGTGAGCTTAAATTGGCTTTAAAAAGGCCTGAAAAACAAATACATGTGCCCACCAGTGGTGAATATTATGAAGTTAAAAGCTACATTGCTTGCGTCTACCACGATTTTTTCCCCTTCTCATTGCCTTTGGAAAGGAAAGAAAGGATGCCACTTCAAAGCCACGAACCTTTCTCAGAAACTGCAGCTGGCGCCTTGCTGTGTTCAGCTTCATCTCCAAGCCAGCATCCTCCTGGGAGGCCTGAGGGACCCTGCGGCTCAAACACTGGCCGCATAGACAGACAATGCCTTTTTATTTTGTGGTCAATTTGAGGGTGTGGCCCAAAAGCTCTTTCTTTTAAATTCCAGAAATGCAGTTTCATGTCCATTTGCACTGACATTTTTTTTTAACCAAACTCTTGTTAGCAACAATCCTAGGATTTATATATTTCTCTCTTCACTTAATTTTTATATCAATATCTTACACGAAGCTGTTTTCAATCAAACTTTTTTGAATTTCTCTTTTACTTTCATTGTGTCATCTTGACTGAGGGGATATTGGTTTATAACACTGCATATGATTTAGGGATCTATTGGTTTATAACATTGCATATGATTTAGGGATCAGATGTAAGTGACCACCCCACACACACCACCCATAACCCTCCACCAAAGTCCAGGGGTAATTCAGCTTTAAGAACCTTTTGTTGGTGGAAGACTATGGGTACCTGGTGGTGGATGTGGTGGGGGTAACACATACCTGAGGAGGTAGGTTCTCTACCTCTAAACCGTATAAGGTGGTGTAAACCATTGTTACCTCGATACAAGTTTTTTTAATATAAAAAATGTTCCTTGATAATTATAGGCTCACCTGTTGCTCTAGGTTCCTGGGATCCTTCATCCAGTTCCCCCCAGTGGTAACATCTTGCATAACAATGGAACAGTGAACCAGAAATTGACATGGCTGCAAGCCTCCCATCTGATTTTCATCACTTTTACCTGCTGTCATTTGTGTTCAAACGATTTTTGTGGCAAACTATATTGTAAGCATCTTAACCCAGCTGAATATATAAAGGATTCTCTCTTGCTTCCTTCAGTCAATAAGCTATCCTTAATAGATACATCGTGGAAAATAAATCTGACTTTTCACAGATTGTGTTTATTAAAGGCACAGCAGACAGACAGGCATAAACAAGCATTGCTGAGGTATTAGCCAAGCCAGGCTGTGTAGACCCTGCATTTGGTTTGATTCAGACTGGATTTAAGGCAGTTTTGCAGAAACTCAACTTTTGTGTCCATTTGACTTTCAGACAGCAAACAGCTTAATGTGGATTCTCTACAATCTATCTCGTAATCGCCACGTGCAACAAAAGCTTCTCAAGGAAATTCAGAGAGTGCTGCATGAAAAACAGATGCCTCGGGCAGAGGATTTGAGGAATATGCCATATTTAAAAGCCTGTCTGAAAGAATCTATGAGGTGAGAACACTTGCCTCCTGAATGTTAGAAAGCTGTTCTCTTACAAGTTGATTCACAAACATATCAAATCACAGAAAAAGAACCTCAGGACCATATTTCTTATCTGTTACTCATTTCCTGAACATTTGAACAAATTCTGTTAGATCATGGAAGGTCAGTGCCCTCCTTCAATCAGTAATAGTAACGCTCAATGCAGCCTCTAAGTGCTAATTAAGATCGGCGCATGCTTGAAGGACAGGAGATGAAAGCTCAGCAGGGAACCAAGCTATTATGTGATAAGACATAGAGACTGATTTGGTTTTGAGCCTCTGGGAGATGTTATTAGAAAATTCCTATATATCCTTTCTGGAGAGCAAAACCCACAACATCTTAGGAGCAGAAGGAAATAACTAACTTTATGGAGGGCTGACAAGAGAAACCTAGAACAAACATCAGGCTTGAGGGGAAGCATGAAGCACACACACATTGGTACCTGGACTGAATTTGGGGGACCGTACGCAGCATGATGCAGCTTTGGGTGGGGAATCAGCCAGCACAGTCAGAGGGTGAATGAAACACCTGATATAAACACCGGGAAGAAAGAAACAGAACTTCTTCCTTAAGAATTGTGGTCATTTTTTGCAACCATCCCAGGCCGGGCAGTTCATTGTTGACTCAGGCAAACGGAAAAGGAATCTCGGAGCCTTAGGTGTATACCTGACGTGCCTTTATCGCTGAAGTGGGGCACTGGGTCCACAGGCAGGCAGGCAATGAGACAGAAAGACTGAAAGACCGAATAGCAGCTGAGCCCCTCAAACCCCTTTGTACTGTTCTGTGCCCACAGTCACATGGCTGAGGCTGCAGGGCAGTTTGAGGCCATCTGTTGTTTGCTGAGTGTCCAACAGGTAGAAAACATAACTGATACATTTCAGGGTTATGAGCTGTCTGTTGTTTGGAAGGCAAAAATGCACCTGATTTAACTCATTTTCGTTCCAGCCATGTTGCCTTTTGGAGTATGGATTTGTGCAGCAATTATTTTTTTTCAAAGATTTATTTTATTTATTTATGCATACAAGAGCTGGGGTACAGGCCAGAGGTGCAAGGAGTGAGAGGATTCATCAGAGACAGAGTGGGGAACAGAACAGGCAGTATCTGCATTCCTGTGGACGCTTGAGCTAGAACTGGTATGTACCCTGTCCCCACTTCTCATCTTTGACTTCCTTCCCTCAGGCTTACTCCCAGTGTGCCATTCACCACTCGGACTCTCGACAAGCCCATGGTTCTGGGTGAATATACCTTGCCCAAAGGAGTAAGTAGAACTTACATCATTTGCAGCTTACAGAGCTTTGAAAGATGCCTGGTCCAAGTAGTCGTCAGGTCTCCCTTGAAATCTTTACCGGGAGAGCCTTCATTTTGGAAATAAGTGGGCTGCCATGCAAACCTGACACGTTGCATTGTCAGTACTAGGAGTCACAGCGATGAGACAGGGAGTCCTGGATTCAGGGGTAGCCTTGAGTGAGCCACACATCATCCATGAGCCTGTTTGCACATCTGTAAAATGGGGATAATGAAGAATCTACACCATGGAGTTACAGATAAAATAGCTAAGTTTGTCACCTATATAGGACCTGGGCCATTTCAAGAGCAATACCTGCCGGCCATCATCATCGTTATAAACTGGGGGGTTAAACTTACACTTGCAAGATGATCACTTGTCAATGTCACTCTTCCAACGTTTCCTTCTGTTGTCTTAAATGTGGTTGTGTCTGCCTTTCCAGACAGTGTTGATGCTAAATACCCAGGTGTTGGGATCCAATGAAGAAAGTTTTGAAGATTCAAGTCAGTTTAGACCTGAGCGATGGCTTGAAGACAAGAAAAGGATTAATCCTTTTGCACATCTTCCATTTGGCATTGGGAAAAGGATGTGCATCGGCCGCCGATTAGCAGAACTCCAGCTCCTGCTCGCTCTTTGCTGGGTAAGACCCTGGCCAGGCTGCTTAGCTGTGTTCTGGGCAGTCCTGCAGGTAGGAGAAGAGGCTGACTCTGCTTCTGTGCCTGTGTGTTCCAGATTGTCCGCAAATACGACATTGTGGCCACAGACCATGAGCCTGTGGAGATGCTGCACATGGGTATCCTAGTGCCCCACCGGAAGCTGCCCATTGCCTTCCGCCAGCGGTAGACCCCCAGGTGGGCATTGGGGGTGTGGCCAGCCAAGGGGTGAGCAGGACTGGTGACTTAGTCAGGCTAGACTCTGAACCCCCAAACAATTACTTAAGCTTCTACCTGTGATGTATTTTCTCTTGTAAAATGAGGACCAAAATAGCACCTGTCCAGAAAGTTGATGTGAATGCTAAATATGTAGCCCAGAAACAGGTGTCAATACATGCTCAGTTAATACTTAAATCTGATTCGATTATTGTTTATGATTATCTGGGGAGAACACACTTTTTCTGTCAACGACCAGTTGGCAATATTTTAGATGTGCTGTGCTGTCAAGAGGAACACAACAGGTCTACAGCTATTCAACAAATGGACATCTATTTTGGATCTCTGGAATCTGTCCTGAGTGCATACAGCAAACAAAGAAATCTTAATTAAGATTTATTTAATTAAATCTACTAAATCCCGGGTAGATTATTTACGGAAACATACATTATCCTCTAGCCAATCTGTCAAATCGAGGCATCCCAACAGAGCTGAGATCGAGTCAGGTCATGAAGGAATTCTAGTTTAATTTTGCAGTTCCCAGTCTTTGGTCAGGACAGCACCCACATTTCTCATGGCGAACCACACCTTGGGCAAAAGCCCATGGCTATTTATGGTTTTAGCAGTTCCTTTTTTACTAGTAATTCCTCTAGTTTAATTTTACGTCTTTCACATGTAATTGTGGTATACTTTATTTTCCAGATTTTTTTTTTTTTTACTGAGACCAAGAGCAGCAATTTTTAATCTCCTGCAAGATTGGTGCTTATGACTTCTGCATTACCAGAAGAAAGTTTCAAAAAATCAGAGCAAGAATAGCCTATAAAGGACATTTAAGCCCTGATGTTTAATCTTTCATCTGCACAATTGTTCCAGAAGCCCTATGCCTATATACATGCTGGTCTTTATTAAGATTGTATCCAATAGCAGGTTGAGTGTTGGGGATCAACGCACTCTGAGGTTGTGCCATTGGCGAACCCCTCCTGACTTACAAAAAGTGGTACATGGTCCTGCTTTCTGTAGCATCTCCCCTACATGAAAAGCAGGCTGGACACTTGTGAATTCATTCTGTTCAAGCGGCGACATGTTGCTGTCCATGCCCTATCAAACTCACCTTTTCTTCTTTACTTCTCAAGAGTAAGTTTATATTCCACAATGAAAGACATGTGGCAGCTGAATTAATCATGGCTTGGGGCAATAGTACAATCCATCTGTTGTAACTCTAATATAATATTTGAGAAATTATTTGCTTAATAATGTCAGCAAAGCTAATGTTGGTTAAAGTTATCAGGCCCTGTGAAACTGCATTTTTGCTTGTTGAAATAGAAATAGAGCTGGGAAATTAGCCAATACTCTATTTTAAGAATTACTTTAAGGAATCCTGAAAGTATTTACTCAATGTATTTTCTTTTGGCATTGAGGAGGGGATTGACCTTTTTAAAACTGCAAGTGTGTGTGTGAGTGTGTGTTCTAATGGTCATTTGCTTAAGTCATTTTAAAAAAATGTATATGACATTTGATTTAGAATCTATGGCTTAGCTTCTAAACTTCAGACATCCCTTCAAAATTTTCAGTGTAATCCTAAGAAGGTGACTTCCATGCTTTAAATTTCCCATGTGCAGAATGGGGCAGTGGTGAAACATTAACAATATAAACATGTATTATATGATCTGAATTCCTTGGGGAAAAATGATTTCAGAATTGAAAAATACATAGAGAACTATGCAATATTTTCAAAACATTCCCAAAAAGTGTGTTTACATACAATTTATTTGCACATTTTCTACTACTATTTTTCCTAAAAGTGAACTGTATATTTGATAAAGATTTTCCTTTTAAGTTGTATTTTTGCACATTCCTGAAGTTTACATTTCTATCTTTATGTATGAATAAATATGTACATATTGCCAACATTGGTATATACTCTCTCCTTGCTGTGAAATTATTTTCAGAACTATAACTCCACACATTTGTCATGTTTTATTTGTGTCTCTTTTTGAATTCTCTGAAAATAAGAATAAAAGTCTCAAAATATTTGAGAGCTGTTTCTGCTTCATTGTGTTTGTTACAACAAAATTTAAACATTCAAACTTTGTCTTGCTAGAAAATGTTCTCAAGTGCCCTTTTCACAAGTCCTATATCACAAAGTCTGTTTTTACAGAAATCTGGACTTTGATACAGGTTTTCAGAAAGATAATCGTTTGAATGTCAAAATTATTTCCATTTGTTTGCTGCTGCTGAACTCGTTTTCAAGATCATTTGCTTTTATATCCTGGCTGGCTGCAGCCCGCCCTCCCTGGTTCTCCTCTCCAGTCTCCCCTGACGACCCTCCCTCTCTTCTTGCACACCTGCCCCATCGGTCTGTTCAAAACCCAAACCTGGGCCTCCCTGGTGGTGCAGGGGTTAAGTCTCGGCACAATGAAGCTATCAGCATCCTCTGCAGTTGGATCTCCTACCAGGGAGCTGACCCACATGGCGCAGCAGAGCTCTCCTGTCTCCCCGCTGCTCCCCTCAGCAGTGTATTTCAGTAGATCCACCTGTTCTGCTCCCCACTGTCTCTGTAAGTCCTCTCACCCCCCACCCACTGCACCTCTGGCCTGCACCCCAGTTCTTGTATGCATAATCTTAAAAAAAATAAAAATAAAAAATAAATAAACCTGGGTGTGTCTCATCCTTGCTCCAAGGCTTCTTCTCATGGCTCATGTCAATTTCCAATTCCCTTCACTGGACTTGGGTGTCCTGAAGGGCCAGGTCCCCCGCCCCATACAAGCTAGCCCAATCATCCACCTGAGTGGCCCCAGACTCCAGCCTCATGGCTTCTGCCAGCTTCTTCTCTGCCTTCCTCCTGCTCATGGCCCATCCCTCCTCCTGGAGATTTCTTTCTTTGCCCCCCACTCCTCTCCCTGCTGTTCAGAGGCAGATCCAGCTCCTCTTTCCTTAATCACTCTTATCCTCCCCTTATCCAGGCCCAACCAAGGGCTGGTGCATTGAGGGAGTGACCCCAGGCAGGGGAGACCTGAGGAAGTGGGGCGGCAGGGAAGGGGAGGGAAAGGGATGATTTGGGTAAGTCCAGTCTCAGCCTGGGCTGGGAGATCCCTAGGGAACTGGACAAGCTCCTTCTCCTGTGGCAGGGTCTGGGGCTGCCCCCAGTCGTGGCAGGTGTGGACACTCCCTCTGACTCTTAGTACATCAGACAAATGTCTACTGTGGCCCAAGGGTGGTCTTTGAGAAAGGCTGCCAGGCCGGCCATCAGGAGTGATGCTGGCAAAGCTGGGGCAGGACGCAGAGTGAAAGGTGCAAGGGATCTAGGGGAACCTCAGTCTGCTGCCCCTCCTTCTCTGAGCTAGTCATGGGGGCGGACCTGGACCCACAGGGTCCTCTCAGGGGGATGCCCTGCAGTCCACCCTGCCCCAGGCTTCAGACTGAACACGTTTAATTGGTCTCCACTGGGAACTCTTTACTGAAATGTAAATAATGTTCCTGATGCTCCTGAGCTGACAGTGGCCTGGGAAGCCACAACCTCCCAAGGTCAAGGTCACGTTGGTGGTAAGTGGCTGAGCAGATCACGAGTGTCAGGCATGACACAGCACCTGTCACACTGGACACTCAGGCCTCGGACCCCCGAGCTGTCCGGAAGAGCACAAGCCGCTCAGCCTGTTACCTCTGTTCGCCCTCTCCACCCTCCATCCCTGTTGTCTCCTTCAAGGCCCGCTCAACTCTTCAGCCTGATGTTTTTGAGACATCAATGAAATAGATTCTGGTTTCCACTAAGTAATAGAAATGAGCCACTCAAATCCTAAGGTCACAAAGATCAGCTCCTCGTTGCTTCCTAAAGTGACCTGGTGGGCTGGGTCAGAACCACAGAAACAGCAGAGAAAACAAGTAACGGCCACTGTGTTCCTAATGAGATTCTCAGGACCAGCTCCACCTTTCTATTTCATCTCAGAGCTTGAGCAGAAAGGTGCTGAGTCTGATTTTGGGTGAGCGTTTAAGTCAGTTTGCCAAATCTTTCCACAGTTCACTAGCAAGTGACCTGGAAAAAAAATCCACATTAAGGTATTAAAAGGGTTCAAGTGCCGGAAGAGCTTAAAATAGTTAACTCATCAACTAGCCCAGAATGAACTTAGGATAAGCTTGTCTTAGCATGTTTCTTGTTGGAACTGGGGGAAAATAATCAGAAAACAACTGCATTTATAGAAAGGACAATTCAGCTGTACAGTTCAACATCAAACTCTCTGGTAATAAAGGACTGAGGTCGTGATCTGACACGGCTGGTGAATCACATCTCAGCCTTCGATTTCTTTCCTTTCCTACTTTCAGAAATGTGAGTTTCTCCCAATCTTAAAAATTAATTGTAAAAATCACTGATAAAATCATACAAATGTGGACAATGACTGGCTACATAATTTTCAGGGTATAAAATGAAAATGAGGAGCTCCTTGTAAAAGAAGCAAAAGTTACGAACTTCATGATAGTGGCACAAAGCATTAAACCAAGTGAAGGCCAGAGGTGTGGGGGTGGGAGGTGAGAGGATTCACCAGAGATAGTGGGGAGCAGAACAGGCAGATTGACCGAAGGACACTGCTGAGGGGAGCAGCGGGGAGACAGGAGAGGTCTGCTGCGCCATGTGGGTCATCTCCCTGGCCCGGGATCGAACTCGCGCTGTCGTGGCTGCTGATAGGAAGTTAGGTGTGACTCTGGCTTGGAATGCCCCGTGAGGTGAGGGCCAGGTGCTGGCTGGAGCTCCAGCCATTGGAAAGCTTGACAGAGGCTGGAAAATCCCTCCCAGGAGCCGTTGTGAGGGGGCAAGTTGCTGGCCCTTGCCGGCCCCTTATTTCTTGCCACCTGGGCATCCTCATGAGGCCACTCCACTGAACTCAGGGGACAGCGACCCCCTGGGAAGGGCAATCCAAGAAAGAGCAAGGCACAGGACATGGCCTTTAGTGCAGGAGCACAGATGTCACACAGCTCGTCTCT